TAGTGCTTCATTTCATCAGGCGAAAGTCCCACCGTGTCCAAGGGGGTTACTTTTCAGACAGACACACACACACACACACACACACACACACACACACACACACGAGCAAGGTGCCATTAATGTCTTCACAGGCCATTTGCAGCACGGATGTTTTATGGGAAGGCCGTGGTGCAGTTTTAAAATAGAATTGAGGGCACTGTTGAAAGATGCCCGAGGTTCCACAATGGAGCTGACAAAAATCATCAGGAGCCAGTTCTGCGTTCAGGGGGGTTGCACTATAAATCCCATCGCCCCCAGCCAGAACACAGCCCAACGCAGCAGGAGGGCTCTAAGCGGGTTGGTGGCCCTGGATGAAGGCAGGGGTGGATTCCAGGGCAACCCTTCCCCATTGCATTGGGATACCAGTCCCCCAGCTGACTGGGAGTGGGTGGGATTTGTAGTCCAACCCCATCTACCCTCCACCATCACTGCACTTGGTTCCCCAATCCCTAGTGACACACTGGTGGGGGATAATAGGTTGTCAGGAACCAGGTTCTGACATAGGTCTTTGTTGGCAGGTAGCAGCCCAAGAGGTGTGAGAGAATGGAATTTGTAGTCCAGTCCATTTAGAACACAAGCAGGGGAAACAAGGCCTGTCATCCCCAGCCATCACAGCAATTGGTTCCCCAACATCCAGCAACTGGGATGAGCCCTGGGTGGCCATGCAGACAGGCCAAGAAATAGGAGAGGATGGGATCTGTAGTCCAAGCCATTAGCATACACAGCAATAGGAGAGACAAGCCCCATCCTCCCCAGCCCTCCTGGCACCTGGTTCTCCAATTCCCAGCTGGAGATACTGGATTGTTCTCAGTGGGGAGCCAACCAACAGGTGAGACAATGGGATTTGTAGTCCGACTCACTTAGAACCCATAATGGCCCGGGAAGCAAGCCCCATCCTCCCCAGACCTCCCAGCACCAGGTTCCCCAATCCCCAGGGAGGCACTGGCTGGGGATCATGGGTCTGTTAGTGGGGAGCCAGCCCAGAGGATGTGTAGTCCAATCCATCTAGAACCCACAACGGCAGAGGAAGCAAGCACCGTCCTCCCCTCCAGCACCCGGCTGGGGAGGATGGGTCTCTGGTGAGGATAGGATGGGCTCTGTAGTCCAGCCCCATCCTCCCCGGCCAGCAGGCTCCCGCCGGCCGCCGGGGATGATGGGCCCACCCACCTGGGCTCGGGGAGCAGTACCTGCGGGGGCGGGGC